AATACTTATAATCTTATATACACATTTCTCGGTTTGTGCGCAATTATTTGCTTTTGTACATTTTATGGATAGATCAGTCGAGCCGTTTTTTCAACAAAAAAATCTAAACTCGTGGTGTATAGCTTATGGAAAATTGCTGGAATTTTCCCTACTATAATGAAATATTCGAAGAATATTAAATGTTTTCAAATAGATTTTTATAAATACTGTAAAATTGTCTAATATTTATAAGAATTACATAAACTGAATTGCAAAGTTAAAATTATTTATTTAAAATAAATAAGTGAGCTTTAGCATTTTAGCAAGTAATTAAATGCTGAATTATTTTCGATATACAAAAAAATTTGAAATAATTATTTTATAATTTTTTTCCAAAAGCAATTGTTTTGCCAATACAAGCAGAAAGTTTTTTGAATAATTCAAATCGCACGCTTAGTTCTTTCAAAAACTGCCATTTTTGTACATTTAGCACCGTATCTTCAAAACGGCTGCACCTGGCTTTGCCACAAAATAATCACCACTTCTCCCCAAATTGAATGTTTTTCAGATCATTCAAATCGGATGCTCCGTTGCTGCACTCTTTGCTCCGTATTTCTGTAACGGCTGGACCTGCCTTTGCCAAAAACTAATTAGAACATCTTCCTATCAATAGAAATCGAATGTTTTTTGAACCATTCAAATCGGTTGATTCATGCGCCTGAAAATGTGGACGAAGCATTGCGAACACAAAATCAAACACACACACACATTCATTTTTTCTAAGGCATGCTAAAATGTTCAGAAACCTTCAAAACGTAAAGATTTTCTATTCAAAAATTTTCAATTACAATTTTTGGACGATTACACGGACGGGAAATTAATAAATATGATATCTGCACTCGTATATGTTATTTTTAAGTGCATCGCTAGTCTAGCCTTATTGAGAATACCTACTAAAGTTATAACACATTCAACTAAATAAGTATGATGTGTAACCAAAAATAGGCCTAAAGGAACAAAAGATCATTTATCAATGCCTTGGCTTGTCTTTCATATATTATGGTCTGCGTATCACAGTTTGACAATATGTGTCATCATCTAAGAAGCATACACCTTCAAAGCTATATCTGCATTTCTTAATTGCTCCTGAGACACAGTGGGCAAAGGCAAAGTTCTACTCGGGGCGCCATCGCCACCTCACACACTGCACCTATACAAGGCGACACTTGTCGAATGTAATTAGAAGCTGCGGTGGCCCCTTATGATTCTCATCGTTTCGGAAGTCTGCCGATTCATTTTATATGCTAATTTGTAATTCACAAAATATGATTTTCATTCGCTTAAGTCGAGATAGGGGCGGTATCGGTCAATTAAAAATATCGGTTCGGGTGCTCAGAACTTTTGAGACTAATCAAGAAGTTCTCAAAACCGAAGTTTATGGACGACTATCAACTTAAGAGTTTCTTGCAAGCCATCTTTTATGGTGTACAATCACGATTAGAACACAGAAATGCAAATGAGAAAGAATGGTTTTGTAAAGATAATTATTAACTTACCGTAGGGTAAGTTATAGTAACGGGCCAAAAACAGAACATGAAATTTTTTGCATATCTTCATGTATCAGAGGTTTCTTAACATTTTGGCATACCTCAGAAAATATATATATGTATGTATGTATGTGTGTTTTGTATGTCCGCATTTTTTCGTCCATGTTTTCGGGAGCACGGATCAACCGATTTGAATCAAGATGCATCAAGATTTTTTATCGAGTTCACAACAAGCACAATGCTCACTAACTATTAATAAATATTTTATAATAATCATAATTTAATATAATAATGGGTAGTACTGCCCTAACTGAAATCCAAAATAATTCAGGAAATTGTGAGAGAGTTACGATTGCCATTCACGTCGCAGTGCCTTCTTTTACATAACAAACTTTACAATAAGTACATTCAGCTACTATTACAGATAATTTAATATCGCGGCGTGTGGAGGATAGCTATCCTGTGATAGCACCTTCTGTAATTATAGCATTAAATTTTATGTAATTTGATGTAATAATTCGTTACAGCTTCTTGTTTTAAGACGCTTTGGTGGTAAAGTCTTGAGCAGGTCACGCGCCAGTTGATTTGGATGTTGACTTAGCCGCATTTTGTATCTGGAGCAGAAATGGTTAATTTCTTCTTCCGTAGTTAGAATACTAAGGTACCAGTTTGGTACATATTTTGGAGCGTTCACGATCTGTTTCAAAATTTTGTTCTAGATCCTCTGTATAATTGCTATGCTTGATTACTAGCCGCACCTCATAGTTGTAGACCGTAGGACCATATAGGTTTAATAGGAAACATATTTTTGATCTGTTTTTTTTTTTCAAGGAAAAATTCGTTTTACCCCTGCACGATATCATATTATCCAAAGCAAAGTTTCGAACTCACGGTCTACACAAGGCAGTGCGCCTAACCATCGCGCCATAGAACACCTATTTCAAGATTAAAATACAGTAATAAAAATATTATTTTAGCATTACATTCGAATAAGCGAATGCATTTTAAATATTTTGTCAAAATATACTTATTTGAAGAATGATACAAAAAATAATCTACTGGAATGTTTCAGGTAACGCATATCGAAACTGTTCATCCTAATATAAAAATTTGAAGATATGGAGTAACTATAAACCCTAAAAATTCATATATGACGAACTTAATTCAATATGGATATGTAACTTACCTATATGACATAATAACAAATACTGGAATTAGAGATTCTGAGTGAAAGTTATGTAACATATGAGGAAAAAAACAAATTTGTATATAGCATAATTTATGTTGCGTTTGTCTTTGGACATTGTTGTTATACTGGTTCATGTAAACAATTGCATTTAATTATATGTTAAATGCAGAAAGCAAACTTTTTCAATTGTGCCACACGAAATCATAAATTTATAAAAAAAAAGCGCATTGACTGATCAAAGTTACTTAAAGTTGCATAGTTGTATAGTGCACTAAAAGACTTTACGGAAATTTCAACTAGTAAAACAAATATATCAAAGTCTAAATAATACATTATAGTACGCATAAATATATGTACTAGAGATGGGTAACTCACTTCGGAGTTATCACTCCGATACAGCGGAGTGAATCCGAGTGGAGTTGTTTCACAGGATTTGTCATATCCGACTTTCCTAAACTGATACTAAATTTGGTAATATGTGCAGATATTTGCTTGAGATTTTTTACTAATACAAAGATTTGGGTCGAAAGAAGTGTTTTTTTTTGCTCGTCTCACAGGCAGGTATATAATGTCTCAAAATAATGCTATTTGGTGTTCTATATTCTGTATACGATTATGTTTGTCCGTAAATGAGCCTTTTCAATGGTATTCAAGCAGCTAAAAAATATTTAGTATTGTATTATAACTTTTCACAATTATGATTTTATAATTGCTAATCAAACTACCTAATGTATAATTAATTCTCGAAAGGGAAATAATAAAAGAATGTGAGGTATTATTATTTTGTGAAAAATATCATACAGAAAGATTTGTTCTTATTTCATATATAAAGTTCACTGTGTTATTTTCATATAAAAATAAACATATTCAAAGAATTCTATATTTTCTCTACAAAACTAATTACAGAATTGATTTTGATTCCCAAGTTTTTTGTTAATTATTATAATTAAATGAACAAAAATGTTTGAACTACCTGTAAACGATTTACAACGTCTTAATAAATCCTTAGATTTCTTAACAACACAATAGAGAACACATTTGTGTCAAGTGTTATGTTTCAAAGTTGTCGAAGATGTGGAGTTATTAAGTGGATATAACTGCTCTATGAAGCGGAGTCAAATCCTAACCGATCCGGCTTCGGATATGATTAGCAGATTTCTAGTTGACTATTCTAAAGTATATATTGTTACAGTACATAAAGCAATTTTAATTATTAAAACAAATATATCAAAGTCCAAATAATCCATTACAGTACGCATCAATATATGTACCCATTGTTTATTTTAAATATCTCATCATATAATCCCTTCTTCGAAATTCATCGGAGCATTTAATAAACACGATCGCAGTCATCGTTCTGAATATTAATAACCGAGATTAATCACCGTCGGTTCCTTCTGAAAGCAAATTTTGCTACAAGGTGTCGTCGTATGATGATGTTTCTTCCTCTTGAACCTATTAGCACCCTTCGTGTCAAGGCTTTGGAATGATGAATTTGTAAACTGACGAACGAGTTCAACCCCTTGGAATAGGGTTGGATAAATTAACCGGTTGACGCGAGCTGTCATGTAGTTGTCGAAAGTGGGAAAGTATGGGAAGACACTTGTTGATATGAGTTGGCGATGATTTCGAAAATTCAAGGGAGTTTTGAAAAAAACTTTCACGAAAATGGTGATTTGATGAGTTTAAATGGTTTTGAAGACGTTAACTTCACTAAAAGTAAATTATTGAAATTAACTAGTAGTGCATGGTATCATAAATAAATATTCAAGCAAAAAAAATCAATAAATGATCAATGATTAATTACAATTGTTTTAAATATTTTTAAAGAGATAATTATTATTACTATATATTTATTCGTTCATATAATATACAGTGACGATCTTATCGGTCAAAACACTTGAAATTGTTTACATTATTGAGGAGAAGCCAAATGAATCCATCTGAGGATATATTTTTTACGATTAGAATAATGCATATGAGATATATACAATATACATATTTAAATTTCTTTGTTACTTTTGAAAAAAAAAATCTGAAAATTTTGAAATTTGTTTGAACCCTATAAGTGAACTTTAAAAATCAAAATTCTTATTACTGAATCCAAATAATTGTAACAAAATTAGTGCACATGTTTAAAATCTCTATAAAATATCTGATAATTTGATGTGCATATGTCTAACGATTATTTTAGACTGCCAAATATTGTTTTTTACGTTTTTCTCTATCTCCAAAACTGCCTTTCCAAAAATTTGATCAATTCTTCAGTTCGTCAATACAAGTGAAATGTTTTTTGAATCATTCAAATCGGTTGATCGATGCGCCCAAAATCGTGGACGAAAAATTGTATTCAAGCATACAAATATGCACACACTTACATCGATTTTTTAAGGTTAGCAAATTGCGATTTACTACTAGTTTATCTTTATTAATCCAATATTTCTAGTTTGTAGAAGTTTGTAAGAAAAGTAATGTAGTATCAAGAACAAAAATACAAAGTTTTTATGAACAATATTTGTAGAATTTTTATCACTACACAGACGACCTATTACAGAAGAAATTGTATAAATCTTCGAAATTTGGTCTATCCTCTGTACTCCACTGCCAACATTTGGACATGCGACCATAAATTTCATCATCGGCATGTTCAGGCTTCAATAATCTATTTCCAGAATTTAACCAGCTGCAAATATCGGTTTTTGATTTACCTTCGTAAATTTCCTTTCCATTAGAAAAAATTTCATACAGAATAATTCCAAAACTCCATACGTCAGACTTCACTGAATAATTGCTATCTTTTAGGACTTCAGGAGCTGAATATTTCCACATATCATCTGCTCTGCTATATGATTCGCTTTTTCTAATTCTAGAATTCCAATGGTTATAAATTTTTATACCATTTTGAAAGTTAAGAAGGATGTTTCTGCTTGTTAATTCTTTATGAACGAAATTTCTTTGTTGGAGGTACAACATGCCCTCAGCGATTTCCTTAGAAATACGATACATTAATGATTTATCTAAATGATCAAGTCCCTTGAGATAGTTTAAAAGACTTCCTCCTGAAATAGAAAATGTCTATACAAATTATTTTCTACATTTTGTGAGCAATGTGTATATCGAAATAAGCAAATTATAGTTAGATTAAGTTTGTAAATGTTGACATTGTCTCTTAATAATACGAAAATTTGAAAAGGGATAAAATAGATTAATAAAGCAACTCGATTAAAAAATATATTGAAAGAATGAACGTATTTTAACAAAAAACAAAACAGTTGCACAAATGTCGATAAAAGCTGGGAAATCTCATTTCCATTTTCTATAAAACTTGCGTTAAAATTTTTATTATCAGAAGGTCTGTAGAAGATGTTAATGCAAATGCTAGTACTAATACAAAAAGATTTTACCTTTTACGTAACTTGTAATCGTCCAAATTTCTTCAGAAGTGGTGGATATACCGAAAAAACATGACAAACGATGATGATCTAGTGTTTTCATGATCATAGCTTCCGATTTAATTATATCTAATGAATTCACACGATAAATGCTTATTTTATGAACTGTCACATCGATTTTCTTCTTTTTCCATAGTGCTTGCGAAACAGGATTATAAGATCCTCTACTCAAGTTAGACTTAAACTCAATATCTTCAACTGGTATAATTATTTCATCACCATGACTATTAGAATCGTCCTGCTTAGTGCAAGGATTTGTCAATTTAATGCCCAATGTATCCAACGGATTATCTAAAATAAATATTCATTCATTTATATGTTTGAATATTTTTAAATTATAATTTGTTGAAGTGGAAAGACAATGCAGATGTCGTCGAAAACAATTGCGAGAGTTTACCTACTGATGAAGGAAAGCATATTTACCCTATGATTATACAAATAACGATAATAATAATAATAATAATAAATATTAAATAAATGAATCTTGTCTTTTTTGAAAAAAAAACAAATCATTTTCTCTTCTGGTTTACTTCCGTTTCGTATTGTGAAGTGAAGGCATTTTTTTCACACCAAAACAAGCAAAATGCTTTTTGAATTGATCTAATTGGTATAAATAAAAATTTTGGTATGGAACCTAAAAAAAATGACACAAAATTTGTACTCATTATTAAGATCTTTATAAAATATCTGATAATTTGATATGCATATATCTAATGATTATTTTTGACCGCCAAATGGCGTTTTTGCATTTTTGTTATTGAAAATTTGTAATCGCTGGACTTGCCTATCCGAAAATTCAAACAGTCGTTTCTTTAGTCAATATAAATAAAATGTTTCTTGAATTATTCAAATCGGACGCTTCGTTTTCTCAAAAACTGAATCACCATTTTTGGAGTTTTTGCCTCGTATCTTCGAAACGACTAGACCTGTCTGTGTCAAAATCTAATCAGCACGTCTCCTTATCGATATGAATCGAATGTTTTCTGAATTATTCAAATCAGTTGATCCGTATTCCAAAGGTATGCCGAAATGTTTATAAATTTTTGAAACGTAAGGATATAAAAAAAAATCAGTTTAGATATTTTTTTTTATTACTATAACTTACCCTTAGGAAAGTTAACAATTAATGTATAATATAAATTGTATATCAAAATATAACTAGGGGAAAGTCTCCGAGTGCCGGACACCTAAGGTTATTTATAAATAAATCAAAAAATATTTTACGAAATGTTTATTAAATTATAACTTATGTTAGATAACAAAGATAGAAATCAAACTAAATTAACAAAAACGCAACCTTTGACAACAAATAATTGATATTATTAATCAAACATTGGTAACACAAAATATGGTTTTAAAAAGTGGCACCTAGTACCGGGCATTTCAAAATAACCTGCATTGAACACATATGTATAGCCATCTTCACACTTTGGAATGTCTGCACATGCATGTTTGACGAATATTTTTTGATATTGTGAAAAAAATCACTATATATACACCCTTTTGGCTGGGGTACGCTGATGCTCTCAGCTGGAGCATTCATCATAAGATTTCCATTCTTTGACTAGGAAATACGAAAAATGGGGTTGTGTAGTGACCGTTAGCACTCATGCAAAACAAAATTAAATAATTAGAATAAATTACGTCAATTCTCATAAAAATATCAATATGTTTTGTCACGCGGCGCTCGGTGTGTGATCCTGTACCTGTGTGCACCCCGCGCCCCTTTCATTTGTATTTTGAAATGGAAAGATTTATATTTGCTTAAATAATACGTGTTAAATAGAGTGTCCGGCACTAGGTGCCGTCCGGCGTTACGGGAGTTCCCCCTACATCATGTGCTTTTGTACTTACTTTTGTAATTCCACACAAGCGCAGGCATACTGGGAAAACTATTGTTGAATTCAATATAGTAACGTCCACTTTTAGATACTTTGATTTCGAAATGCGCAACTTTATAGTCTTCATGTTCTCTATACTTAATATGCAATACATATAATAGGAATGATGGCTGTTTTGACTTTCTTATCAAAAACGTTCCTGTAGTTCCAGTATCATATAGTAATAAAGAAGTAGCTTTTTCGCGGGCAATATCCTTGAAAAACCACCTAAAAAGTAAGAAACATGATATATAAAAATATAGAAAAAGATATGGCATACATTATACAAAATTTTATTGTTTTTAGATATCTTGTGTGTGAATACAATTAACCTTTTTTCAGAGATAATTATGATGATAAATATGATAATAACTTTTTATAATAATACATACATACATACAATATAGTAAAATCAATATCGTTTATAAAATTGTATTAAATTAACTTAATATTCATATTATCGTTAAATTAGATACCAATCATATGATTAATTATGAATATCATAAAATAAAATTAGAACTAGTTGTGTATGGAATTGTGCCTTAAGGCAAATTGCAGGAACTTCCCGTACCATATCATACTGTACCATTCTCTTATATTTATAAAAATTATATAAAGTTAAAATTATTTATTTAATTGTTTAGAATTAAAATTAAATTTTTGATAAAAAAAATTTTTTAAAAAAAAAAAAATAAAAAAAATATTTGAAATTTTTTTTTCCAAAAACATTTATTTTGTCAAAAGAAACAGAAAGTTTTTTGAGCCATTCAAATACGCTGCTTAGTTCTCACAAAAACTGCCATTTTTTGCACGATTAGCTTGTTATCTTCAAAATCGTCAGACTTGTCTTTGCCAAAAACTAAACACCACTTCTCCCAATCATTACAAATTGAATGTTTTTTGGAGCATTCAAATCGGATGCTCAGTTCTCTCAAAACCTCCATTTCTATTTTTTATACTCTTTGCTCCGTATCTCCGAAACGGCTGGACCTGCCTTTGCCAAAGACTAATCAGCACATGTCCCTAACATAGGATTCTTTGAACCATTCGAATCGGTTGATCCGTGCGCCCGAAATCGTGAACGAAAAAACACATACAGACATCCATTTTTTTCTGAGGTATGCCAAAATGTTCAGAAACCTTCAAAACGTGAAGATATGCAAAAAAATTTATTTTTGATTTTTGGCCCATTACTATAACTACCCTACGGGAAGTTAAAAACTAGGTGTAAGTGGCAAGTTAAATGAAGTTTCCGCTATGAGTGAATAATCGATTTAATCAATAAATATTTGATTTGTATTTGATCTATCTGTCTAACTGTCTACCTGTGTGTATGTCAACTTTTTACTTTAGTATCTGCCTGCATATCCGCTTGTCTACCGATTTACCTGTATTTATTTCTACCGCTCGACATGCCTACCAGTCGACCTGACAACATACATGTCTACTTGTCCACATGTCTGTTTATCTGCCTATTTTCCTGTCCATTCGTCTACTATACCTTCTTTAGTCTACCTACCTGTCCATTCGTCTCTATTTCGTCTGTGTATCAATATTTTTACATGTATGTAAATGAATATTAATGATTTGTAATGATTAACGATTGAAATTGTAAAAGAATTTCTAAAAGTTGATTGCGAATTAAAGAAAAAGATACCATGACTACAGAATACATATGATTATAGTTACTAACTCTTCATCCTCGAATCGACGTTCCTCCTCGACCAGCATTTTTGGTACCAAACCTTGTCGCATGGTTTTGAAGTGAAGGACTTCATAATAATCCTCAACATTTTGTAATACTTTCATTCGGTCTCCTACTTGGAACGATATTTCGTCGAATCTTTTAGCTTCATAAGCGTAGACTCCGAATACTAATAATAGTGGTGGTTCAGGATGTTCTGCGAAAATAATGAAGAGTAATTATAAAAGGTAAAATGACATGACATAAAGATTCAAAGCTTGTCAAACACAATTCAAAACTAGTGGGGCGCATGGCATCGTGCCTTAAGGCAAATTGCTGGAACTTTCCGTACCAAAATTTATTTTCTTTTAAAAAGATTAACATTTTTGAAAAAAATTACTTTGAAAAAATAGATTTTTGAGAAACTAACTTCTTTAAAAAAAAAGACTTTTTGGAAAAAAATTAAAATCTGAACCTTTTTTCAGAGCAATCGCACTGCTTTAACTGCATAGAGACGAAATATCAAAGCGCGTAAGCGCTGCGTCGCCGTCTAACGGATAAACATTGGCACGGAACCCATAGAAATGTAAACAAAATTTATACTTATTGTTAAAATCTCTATAAAATATGTGATAATTTGATGTGCAAACGTCTAATGATCATTTTTGACCGTCAAATGGCATTTTTTTTTACTTTTCTTACTAGATCTCCTAAACGGCTAGACCTGCCTTCATAAAAATTTGATCAATTTTTCATCTTGTCCATATAAGTAAAATGTTTTTTGAATTATTAAAATCAGATGCTCCGTTCTCTTAAAAACTGAGCTACCGTTTTTAGCATTTTTTGCCCCGTATCTTCGTAATGTTCAGAAACCCCTGAAACGTAAAGATATATAAAAATATCCATTTTGTTTTTTTTGCGATTACTATAGCTTACCCGACAGGAAGTTAAAACAGGGTCGTCTATTTACACAAGGCCAAACGTGGCGATTTACACTACATCATTTTCAAAAAATAGCGTTTTTATAATCCTCTGTATAATTTCATAAATTTTTGAAGATTAATTCAGGAACTCTACTTCTCATAGTTCGAAACGGTAACTCAGGCCTTAAGGCAAATTGCTGAAACTTCCCGTACCAGAATTAAATACTCAAGGAAACAAATCTATGATCAATAAATATTTATCAATGATTAATAACAATTGTTTCGAATATTTCCAATTATTTTATCGCTCATATTATATAGCGACGATCTTATCGCGATCGTTTACATGAGGCATCTATCTGAGGAAATATTGCTTTCGATTAGAATAACGCATATGAAATATATATATTTTTCAAATAAATTTTAAACTTTAAATTTATAGTTAAAATATAAAACCTTGTATATGTTTGAAAATTTTGAAAAAAAAACTAGTTGGTATTGGTATTTTACCTTGAGGCAAGTTATATAAACTTTCATATATGTGTTAATAATCGACTTAATCAATAAAAAAGAAATTAATTTATGAGTGCTTAAAAGTAATTCCGAGTGGATTTATTACGCTTAATTGAAAACGAACGAACACGTTAACTCGGAGTATTTTCTAAAAGCAAATTTTCAAAAATCATCAATTTATAATTGAATCAGTTTCCGCAGAACTTTAATGGTTTAGTATGTTCATTAAGACGAAGTACTCTATCGTTATACCAAGTAAATCCTGTAATTTTAATATTAACAAATGTCAATAAAAACTACTTATTTTCTCAAACTTTAATAAATTTCTAAAATTATACTACTTGTCGTAAGGCCGTAATATTTCAGTAAGTTCTATAAGACCATGATATATATCGCTAAAAAAAATTCCATAAAAATCGGCTTAAATTTTTGTTTCAACAGTTAATTACAAGAAAATGGTTTGGTCGATTTTTACCTAAAATTAATCAGTATCATTCCCAACTAACATCTTTCGAACAGTTTTTGATTTTTTAAAATCGATTCGGTAGTTTGAGCTTAAATGTGGACGAAAAGTTTAACACTTTTGTCCAAATTACAAAGGAACTGCTTGGCAGATCGTCTCACATAACTGACAAACGATAGTCCTCATTGATATACATCAAATGGCTTTTAAATTTCTGAAATCGTTTCAGGCGGTTTTGAGAAAACGTCGATCAAAGATCTAATTTTGACAAATGCCAAAAGAACGATACTAATTTTTGCAAACTTTGATGAATTTTTAAAGCTCCTGATCTACCGTCAAAAAAATAATAATAAAAATTGTCGAAATTCTTTTTGAAAACTTTATTACAAGAAAACTACCCGGCTGATCTTTACCAAAAACTAATCAGGTCGATTCCCAACCAATATCTTTCGAACAGTTTTTGAATTTTCAACATCGATTCAGAATTGCGGGCTAAAACGTGGACGAAAAAATTTTCTCAATTTTGCTATTTACAGAGAAACGGCTTGGTTAATCGTCGCGCAATTGATAAACGCGATACATCGAAATCAGGTGCTCCGTTCACTCAAAAATTGTATTATCGTTTTTGGCACTTTTTCCCTCTAGCTGCAAATCGGCTGGACCTGTCTTTGCCAAAACCTAATCAGTACATCTCCCTATCAAAAGGAATCGAATGTTTTTTGAACCACTCAAATCGGTTGATCTGTGCGCCCATAACGAAAAAATACGGACCCACAAAACACACACACATCCAATTTTTCTGAGGTGTGCCAAAATGTTCAGAAACCTTTGAAACGTGAAGAATGCAAAAATTTCATTTCAAAACCAAATCAGCACATTTTCCCATCAATAGGATTCGATTTTTCTTTTCATGTCGAATGCTTTTTGAATCCATATATACGCACAAACACATACAAACACTCGCCCACACCACATACATCCATCCATTTTTTCTAAATTATGCCAAAATGTTCAGAAACCACTCAAACGTGAAGATATGCAAACGTATTATCTCCCGATTTTTGGACTATTATAATAACTTACTCTACGGGAAGTTAATAATTATCGTATCTTATAATCGATTAATTTATTATCTTATTTTATATTTTATTAATTAATTTCGATATCTTATAATCGTTAACATATTTTTCCTACGAATTGTCCATACCGCTTTCGTCGTTTCTACTGCGATTCCCTTCATGACTAAGTCTTGGTCTTTTTCTTGCCATGTCGGTACAATTTAATAAAAATAATTAAACCGTAAAATTTAATATTACGACTTCACTTTTAACTGTCTCTCATAGCGAAATCCAAACCTTTTATATGTAATTTATATCTTATCTTAGACATTATCACAACTTGCGTGATGCTTAGAGAACGCACGGGTAATTGTGGATAAATTAATAAAAAAAAATGCATTATAGTGTTAGTTTCAGCAAATTTACGTATATTAGAAGATACGTGTATAATTTTTCGTTAAAGTTTTCATTCACCAAACATTCAGAACCGATTTTGAATATCCAAAATTATTTTAAATATATTATTTAAAAATCGTGTTAATTAGTTTTTAGTAAGGATTTGAGTAATTATTATTCATATTGTGAATAAGGGTGTTCCAATGTGTAATGCTTAAGGTCACGGACTTGTGTGGACGCAGTCGTGTGTTCGAACCGCGCTCTGAACAGCCTGACATCGTGCAGGAGCGATGTCAATTTCCACTTGAGTATATAGATGTAAAAATGTTGCTAATTGATAATAGCACATTTCGGGCACAGTGGTGAGAAATGGAAATGAGAAATCTCTCATACAATTCTTGCTTGAATCGAGTTGGAGTTTAACTCCCTAGGGCAGTACTACTTGTTATTATTTTATTGTGAATAATATGGTAATAATAATTTTGATTAATATATTATATATAAACTAATAATAATTACCCAATAATTATATAAATAATATATAAATAATAGGGTTTGCCGGTTTTCAAAAACCGGTTTTGAAAACCGATTTTTTGGCAAAAATTATGAAATTCAAAAACCATTTTTTTAGCGGTTTTACTGTGAAAATTGAAAATGACAAATATACTAGAATTAGATGGAAGCAAGCGTTTTAATACTTTGAGTCATATCGGTTCGATAAAATTAAGAATCATATCAGTCTGTTATAATTCCCAGAATGGTTCTGTGTTTTTTTTGTCGAATGTATATATTGATTTAGATCAATGCAACTTTTAGGAGTGAACTGCTCTACTAAAACTATAAAACGAGTTTTTAGCTCTAGAAGCTACAAATAAAAGAACAAAAATCTAAAATTATTATATCAAGCTTGAAAAACTATTAAGCCTAGTTCGGTTACAAGTGACATTATTTTTATTTAATTAAAAGTTAAATTTTTTATTTAGAAATGCATTATTTTTATTTATTCGAACTCTTTTCTTTCACTATCATAAAAATATTTATATTCTCATATGTGAAAATGATGCATGAATAACGAATAATCATTTTCAACTTATTTAATCCAGATCAACTATTATTTCTTTGTTCTACTAATTAAAATTAAAACAAATTTGTTTACTATTCATAAAATTGAACGTTGAATAAATTCAGTCAAAAACTGCCGATATATTTTTTTGTTATTACAGAATATTCGAGCATAAAGTGATATTTTATATAAAATTCGAAAAACGGCTAAAACCGGTTTTCTGGGAAATTTAGAGTTCGAAACCGGTTTTCTAAAATGTCAGTTTTTTGTATAAACCCTAATAAATACCAATTATTTGTTAGGTTGATGATTTTATTCATATTTATATAATAAATTATTATTTTAATTATGTTCATGATATTATTAAAAAGGCATTTTTTTAGTAATTCATATATTTGTCTTCTATATTATATTTTATATATAAATTTTCAAATTGAATCTATTTAGGACAATTTGCTCTAATTGTAAGTTCAAATAAATGACAATGGAAAATTTCTCAATAAATTTTATATATTTTATGAAGAAAGTATTATGTACTGTATAGATAATATTGTAAAAATATGATCAAAATCTAATTCAATTTTTAATTTATTATCATAAATATTTTTCGATAATTCATGCAGTTGTCAACTAATTAGTCACCGTTTAAAAACTTCTGATTATGTTCTAATTACTTTATATATCTTAACATTTAAAAGATGCATACTCTTATTAAATGTCAAAATAACTAGTGGTGCATGGCATCGTGCCTTAAGGAAAATTGCTAGAACTTCCCGTATCGCAATATACAATTTCTTATGGCTAGAAAGTTAGAAGTTATAATTTGTTCGACCAAATTTTGCAAACATTTGAATATTTTTGATAAAAAGGACAATATTGACTTTTTTTAAAAATTCAGATTTTTTTAATAGAAGTAAAAACAAAATCGGTACTTATTATTAAAATCTCTATAAATTATCTGATAACTGTATGTGCATAAATTTCGTTAAAAAATCCGTTTTACTAATTTTATGTTTTCTTCTTACGTTTCAAGCCATTCTAAACCAAATTTTAACTAGTTGGTTTGGTATTTAGCCTTGAGGCAAGTTACATGAACTTCCCGATATGTGTAAATAATCGACTTAATCAAAAAAAATGTGTAAATAATATACTTCATCAATCCTACTTTAAAAAAAACGATAATAATTTTAGCAAACTTTGACGAATTTGTAAAATTAAACTATTTGTCGTAAGGCCGTAATATTACAGTAAGTTCTATAAGAACTGATGTATATCGCCAAAAAAGTACCATGAAAATCGGCTTAAATTTTTTTTTCAACAGTTAAATACAAGAAAATGGCTCGGTAGATTTTCACCTAAAATTAATCAGTATCATTCCCAACTATATCTTTCGAACAGTTTTTGATATTTTAAAATCGGTTCGGTAGGATGAGCTTAAATGTCGACAAAAATTTAACACTTTTTTTCAACAGTTAATTACAAGAAAACGGCTCGATAGATTTTCACTTAAATTAATCAGTATCATTCCAACTAATATCTTTCGAACAGTTTTGATTTTTTAAAATCGGTTCGGTAGGATGAGCTTAAATGTCGACAAAAATTTAACACTTTTTTTTCAACAGTTAATTACAAGAAAACGGCTCGGTAGATTTTCACCTAAAATAATCAGTATCATTCCCAATTAATATCTTTCGAAAGTTTTTTGATTTTTTAAAATCGGTTCGGTAGGATGAGCTTAATGTGGACAAAAAGTATTTTCGAATTACAAAGAAACGGCTTGTCAGATCCTTGCACAAAACTGACAAACGATAGTCCTCACCGAAATACATCAAATGGCTTTTAAATTTCTAAAATCGGTTCAGGCGTTTTTGAGAAAACGTCGATCAAAAGTCTAATTTTGACAAATGCCAAAAAGACCATACTGATTTTTGCAAACTTTGACGAATTTTTAAAGCTGAACCAGTTATCGTAGGGCCGTAAATTTTAGTATGATCTAGAAGACTATGGTATCTATCGTCAAAAAAATAATCATAAAAATCGTCGAAATTTTTTTTTTTAAAAACTTTATTACAAGAAAACGACCCGCCGATCTCTACCAACAAAACTAATCAGCACGATTCCCAACCAATATCTTTCGAACGGTTTTTGAATTTTCAAAATCGATTCAGAATTGCGGGCTAAAACGTAGACGAAAATTTTTCACTTTTCTGCCATTTATAAAGAAACGGCTTGGCCGATCGTCGCACAAAACTGACAAACAATAGTTCTCGTCGAGATACATCGAATGGCTTTTAAATTTTTGAAATCTACCCAGCCGTTTTCGAGAAAACGTCGATTTACGGCAAAAAATCTGTTCACATACACACACACACACACACACACACACACACCACACACCCACACACACATACTTTTTCCAAATTTGATCTCATTCGATTCAGAATGGCTTGAAACGTCGAGAAAACATAAAATAGCGAATCGGATTTTTTGATGAAAACATAAACTTCTCCTTCGGGAAGTTAAAAATGTATGTGTGTGTTATTCTGAATCGATTCTGAAAATTCAAAAACCTTTCGGAAGATATTGGTTGAAATCGACC